TGTAGCGTAAATTGGAATGTTTTCTTTGTAAAATTAAAAATAAGGTATTTAATTAATAACTATTGTAACTATAGTGAAAAAATAGGGTGGTTTGTACAATGGGTTTGTATCAATATTAGACATAACTGGTTGAAGACTGTATAATCTCAGTCAACTGTGACCATGGGACCTGTAGAGGGCCACAAACGTCGGTTTGTTTGAAAAAACAAATATACGCGATTTAAATCCGGAAAAATAGTTTCATTTCCTATGTGTAACAATCGCGAAAACCTAAGAACTCGATATAGTTTTCTTCTCTATAGCCAAATCGCTGCACCTTTTGTTTTGTTTACAAATGGGTTTCTGTTCACGATTGTGGAAGTAATGGTAAGTGGTATTGCTATAATGGTAAGCTTGACTGGATTCGCTGTAATTGGATAGTTCCCATTGCTTAGTTAAGATGCACACGGAAAGAGAATTATTAAAGCGACAAAAAGTAATGTAACTCTCGGGAAGAATGTTAATGTAAATGAGATAAACTGTTTTTTTTTCTTCTTGTTAAGCACTGTAGAGACGGAGCGGACAGGGAGCGAGCGTGAGTTAAATTGGGAATATTGTCTGGTTTCAGTGTTATCATTACAATTGTTTTCATTGAATGTAAATTAGTCGTAGTCACAGTTATATTCTCAGATTACAATTTGTAATCTGAAATTATATCATTTATTTTATTAATAATACATTAAATATTATTGGAATAATTTCAACAGACGGCATTATTAAAATTCGATGTTTTATCGTGACGGTGTAACTGAATTGGTTCATGTTAGAAAACAATGAGTCAACAAGGCCAGGCTGAAAATCGGACCGCGTTGCACCCAGCCACAAGGACTAAACTGAACCTGTTCCTTCCACGCACTGTAGTTATTCTGATAATATATTGTTATTTGTTTCTGTTTTGTACTATTGCGTGTGGTAAATAAATTGTTTAAATGGCAAATGGTTTATGTTAACAACTGACCAGAGGCAAATGGGTCTCTTTCATGGCGTCTCTCTGTTTATTTCTCTCTGTGATTTTAGATTTAGTGAGATCCTTAGACCGCCTAACGAGAGAGGGCGAGTGGGAATAACTCTATATTTTGAGAATGCCTTGTAATCAGCAGCAGAGAGCTCCTTGTGAAAGAGTTCGTCCAGGGAAATACACGCACCTTATCTATTTTTGCCACCAAGCAGTAGCATTACTGCGAGCTGCGTTTCGGTTTTGAAGGGTAAGGAAGCTGGTGAAATTACTTCATCAGCCAACTTATGTCGCAAGGTGACGGGCGCAGTGGCGGTGACCCTCAGATCTTTGCGATTGAAAGCTCCGAGCGGCACTGGATCTGTTATGGACAGGCGCGCAGCTTAACATGAGACATACGACTTGTTCGTCCCGTCAATTGATATTATAAAAAATATTTGTATACCAGTTTTGCGAATTGGGCTTTCCTAGACTGGTAGCCATTTTGCGAATTGGCCATTCATCGACTAAGCCATTCCAACATGGAGGTGCTGACAAGTCACATAGTTCTGGTTATTTACCTTTATTGATTTTGTACGTAGAACAACAAAAAATAATAATAATAAAGATAATAAATTATCCCTGTACGTGAGGGTAGTTTCAATACAAATTGCAAAGCTGTTTACTCTCCACTTCCGCTTCCGGCGGACAATGGCCAGGGAGCTTTATTACAGGATGTGTATTTAACTATTTTAGTGTACAATAGCCTTTATAGTACAACAGCTAATAATGAAAATCGACGGCTTTGGGCAATCATGCCGGTCCTTTTGTACTCGTCTCAGGGTTCGAGTCCCGTCACGAAAGCATGGATGCGAAATGGTGCATGAATGTCGGAATATATTTTCAGCCTTTCGGAGTGTTAGTTATTTAATTAAAACAAAATAATCTAGCTACGATACCCCATTATAATGTAATGGTCACTGGATAGGACATCGCCTACCTCTGAAAGACACCCGTTCCCAGCTGTGGGACTCGACCAATATGAACAGAAATTATATGAATAATCTCCAGAGGTGGAAATCCTCATGGTCATCGATAAAACTATATAAATCAGAAATGCGGATTTTTTAAATCAAAGACAGATCCACTCCATTCAGCCTCTAGACAACCGGACGCCGCCGCCGTTTACAATAGCTCATGCTCGTCCGCTTTAAGGTACTCCTGCCTGATATTGTCATAAACGCTTTGACAGGGAACTATTACCTACGAAACGAAGGATCCCGAGAACCACTGCCCGCTGCACCCATTTGAACAACACTACTCTTTTCAGTCTATACTAAAATATTTTCTTGCGAACTGCATAGGTAGCAGAAGGTGAGTCAGCAGATATGCACTCCAAAGGTAACCTGTGTCCGATAGTGGACTACTAAGCTTCACGTTTACATTGACATTAGTTCCCATTCTGAGATATCATTTCACCCTTTCCGTAATACAACAATAAAAGTTTTGTCTGCGTGTCTGAATATAGCACCGGAAGTGGCCGGTAAACACTGTCCAATAAAAGGGTTTTTATAGCTTCCTTTTGACGCAGGCTCCTTTCTTAGAGTAAAATATTTCTTATGTTTACTACACTATTTCTAGAAATAACATCCTTAATCCAACTTTTTTGACCACCAACGCATGTACATAATACATACGTATGTCCATCTGCAGAGCGCGGGTCTCCCCTGAGAAGAACTGGCTTCCGTTTGGTTTCTCAGACTTGACATGTGCTAATGACTAATAAATGTTCATGTTCGTCGAAAAAGAATACATGAAAAAAGCATTAATCATCAACCAAAATTACAGCGTCCGCAATTTTCAAAAATAATTTTGCGCGGGAAACCTTAATGCCGGAAACGCGTGTATGTCATTAAAACTTTCTTGTCATAACAAAAACATTTTTACACAATTCATATGGATTTAAAAGTCAATTTTAAAATATCTAAGCATAAAGTTGAAGTTTCTACAAATATGAATATGTACTTATGTTGTTTTGTCATCGATAACACAGTACGGAAACGATTAGTTTCAAAACCACAGGATGTGAGAAATCCATTATCGATTCTTAAAAAACATTCACTATCTCTTTTACATTCATTGGTTAAATTGAAAGTGTAAAAAGGACAGATATAGCCCGCATCCGGCTGCTGCCAGTTGCGAATAACTTTTTTCAAATTCAAAAGATTATAAATTCATTCTTCGGATTCTTATTTTTGACTCTGTTGTAATCACATAAGACATGGATTACTGCGTCATAAAATCGTAGTTGCTGCCTTTAAATTTTGGACATTCTGCATTCAATCATTCAAGAATTTTGTGTCTGAATGTATTTTTCATTCATTATTTGAGCGTCGTAGAGTCCGGACGCGTGCTTTAATTTTTCGTTTTAATTGGTTTTGCACTGAATTTCTTATCGTGTCAAAGTTTTAAAGACGTGTTATTCAAGTGAAAAACCGTGATTGTTGAATAATTGTGAAATTAAAAGGGATTGCTTCTATTAAAAGTTTAAAAATGGTAAGTAATTATTTTACCGCATTCAAACTGTCGTAAACGAATCACCTTTGGGCACCTGCTCATTAAACATCTTAAAAAAGCAACGGTGATTGCTTTTAGACGATCTTGGCGCATTATTTTATTTAGGTATCATTCATTTCCAGGAAAGTATATATGTAGGTAGATACGATACAATGTGGAATGTCGTCTATGTGATAAACATACGCAGCTTTCAATATTTTCAAAATATTTCGAAATTTAAAATAAAATAACATAATAAAATAAAACATAATGCATATTCAAAAATAAACTTTTTCGATTTTTTTTTTATTCTGACAATAATATTATTATATTTGTTAGCAGGTCAATGATTGAGACAGGGGTATTGATTATTTACATTGATTTTTTTTAATTATATGACTTTAGTTTTGATGTCCTGACAGATTTTAAGACTTGCGTGGTTTTTTCGCTAAACGATTAACACTATCTTTTAGAGGCGGGAAGCCTAATTATTCATGATATTATTTTGTTAAAAAATGGTTTCATTTGATTTGATTATATAGGTACATGGACTGAGTGAGTTCCACAAGGGGGATGCACTAATTACAAGTTGTTACAAATACAAAAATATGTTGCAGCTATTTACTAAAATATACATTAAAATGTATGCAACAGGTTTCAAGAAATATGTACCCGTCACCCATTTCTCTATTATAAATAATTCGCACATGGAACGGATATGTACAGGGTCAAGAGCACGTCAAGCGTGACACTTAAGATTTAAACCCAACTCTATGCCGCTTACGATAACAACGGTCCAAAGTACAAAGCGTCAAGCTTGACGTGCTCTTGACTGTACCAGTACGGGTGCAATTAACTCATTTATTATGAGTAGTAGTCACCTCTGACACCATGAGCCCTTTGGGATAGACAAAAACGACTGAATTTAAAGTGGGTGTATGACTTTATGTCTGCATTAACCCGGGAACTTTCACCTTGCCATTTATTAAGTATGTCTTAAAATATTAAACATACTAACATAGTAATCGGGATTTATCTAAAAAATTAAACAAAGAAATACCATTAACAATTTAAACGCTACCGCTACGAATGAAATCATGTTCCCCCGGTGCAACAACGGTTGGGTGCCCAAATTGCCGGCGACGTTCCGTCTCTTCTGGCTTTGCTAACACTTGGGCAAGGCAGCTGCCCGACGAGCACAGTCTCCCATTCTAGAACGCAATTAAGTTTATGACCGGAAGTAGGAGAGCGCGGGAAACAAAATAGCGGGAAAGAACAATACAAACATAACCTAAAACATGTAGGTACGTGACTTCCTTGCTCTCACCATTTGTGATTTCATTGTTTTCTTTAGAATCTCACGGTTTTCAAAGAATCGGTGCGAATTGAGTGTGGGAAGCCGTCATAGTTTGAGAGGTTGGAAGCGATGTGGGTGTGCTTAGACGGTTCACAATTACTTGCTTTAACTGTGGGAGCAAACATTGCGACGAAAGCTGCGTGTCAGAGTAGTTCAAAATTCTTGAAAGGCACGTAAACGACACCTGTTGTTGTGCGCGATATAGCGACTACAGATTTCCACATAAGTAACCGCTAAGACCTAGAGCTCAACCAATTGCAGTGGCCAAGTCAAACGCTTATCACTTTATTTTTTTTATACACGAATAATTGCGTATTTGGCCTTCATCTCACCTGATGGAAAGGGACAATGAGGTCGATGATGTAGCAAGCACACCTAAATAATGCCTATTCACTCTCGCCTTGAAAACGTCCACGTTGTAGCGTTCGGGGAACAAGTCCGCAAGCAGGGAATTCCATTCCGGAGCCGCTCGCCATACAAATGTGGAAGCGAAACGCTTTGTGCGAATCCTGGGAATATCCACAACACAAGTGTGGAATCCCAATAAGAAGTCTAGGCCCCGATGATGGAAAAGGGAAGGCGGAATCAAATCATGCAATTCCATCGTACATTCTACAACTCTACGGCGGTGTTCAAGGCTCTGCAGCTTCGCCTCTACTAAATCCGAGTCACCTATAAGCCTCTTAGGACGCTTGTCTATTGAATCCAAGATGGTCAGTTGGTATTTAGCAGAGACGTCCCATAAGTGACAGCAGTACTGCATGCACGACCTAACTTGTGCTTGGTACCTACAATTGAAGCAACTGTCCCGGTATGAAGTAACGCCTCCCCTTGGAAAGGATGCCAAGCTTTCTGGCTGCATTTTAAACCATGGATTCAATGTATTTGTCGAAGTTCAGTTAATTTATGAAATCTTTAAAACTAATTTTTCAAAATTTTGCAGTCGTCCAACAATATTCTGTGAGCCGCCCAATTTTATTATGCCCGTATGTGTATTTGCTATTGATACATGTCAATAATATTACAAGAAAAACAAAACCATCTGCTGCTAGTCGGAAGTCCCGCTTGTCGAGTAACAAACAACGGTAACCGCCAACCCACCGAGAGAAAACATCTGTTTTTGTAATAAATTTCTGACTCGTGGCGTGTGCGCGCCACTCGTTTTGGGATCCGTACTTAAAAAGGAAGACGTTCTGTATCAATTAACCATTAACTTAACGTCACTTACCTAAACATAAATATCTCTTAAGGAAGTGCACCCAATATTTCTCATTTACCTGCTAGAGTGAATGTTTGAGTTTGAGCCGGCACCGGCACGTGGCTGTTTGATGTGATTTCATTGATAGGAACCTATTTCCAAGCCAGTTTTTCTCGAAGTTTTTATAAGTACCAAGCTTATATTTGTCTCAGCGGCAGCGGGGCCGTTCATTCGTTACGACCCTTCTCCGATGTGCAGCTTTGATCGCGGTGTTTTCAGCCATCGTCAAAGCAAGTGGTAATTAATAAAATTATCTGCAGACGATTAGAAAAGACTCGGCGCTGCAGACACGCGCTGGGAATAAAACTGTAGCATGTCGCATCCACATAGCAGGCGAGCGTCTTACTGCTACTTCCTCTTTATAGTACAACAATTTTAATTACTTTATTGACTGGTACTTAATAGTAGAATCTTATTTTGTTAAGAACAGTGGGAAAGTGGCATAGTTGTTTTTACAAGAGTGTTGTGTTGAATATCTAAGTAAAGTACGAACAATATAATAAACGGAACACTCACACTCGACTGCCCAACACTTGCGACCCAATCTTCAGCACACGTCGGTGCATACGTCACTTTTTTCACACAAAACAACCGGAAGCGGCGTTCCCGCCAAACGGACGGACGTTCCATAATCGAAATCGACACTTCCGCCCGATTCAAAAAAGGAACACATTGTCGTTTTTTTATTATCCGCCCGAAGACATAAAGACATACATCCTCTTTGCATTGTTAGACGTTATGGGAAGTCGTAATTAATCATTTTAATCAATTGTTTATTGTATGTTTCCGTTGCATTATCTTCCCCGTCGCGTCGTCGTCGTCGCGTCGTCGTGGTGCGAAGCGACCGAGTGAGGGATATATCCGGGAGACGGGAAGCAGCGTCTCCCCTTACATTAGATTGCAGCTTATTGGCAACTATGGAAATTTTTGTATTGGGCAGTCGAGACGTCCGCTTGGCTCCGATAAACAACTGACTGATGCTTCCAGTATTAGTCACACTTCAATCTCTTACATGAATCAACGTGCGAAGAGTTCAACTTCTAAATTGATTTTGGCCTGTAATCGGAACTTTTAGTCCTGGACCCCAACCCGTTAGGCCATCGAGGTCGTAGCTGCAGCACTCTTCAATTGACCAATATAAAAACTACAATAAAAAAGTCGCACAACAAACTCAAACAATTACATAATAGTTTGATCCGTCATTAGTACGGACGCCCACATCCGGTTCCGGCCGCAGATGGCGGCGGCCAATTCACGCGTTTCCCGCGCGATCAATGTATTTCCCGATTTTTGTTGTCGCGCGGAAATCCGCTAATTTACCGACGTATTTCTTGAAGGGCTGTTTAGTCAATAAATAAAATGATGAATAGTTTGTATTGTGTTGTGGTTTTACACAAAAAGGTACGAAACCACAGCTCAGTAATACTCTCAGAATTAACTGAATTTTTACTGCGTGCGTTTACTGAAACAGATTCCGTAGGATGGTATTTTCTTATTCTCGAAGACACGAATCGTGATTAATATGTTCATAGTAAGTAATTGAATTACAGAATTCTGATGAAAAAACCAAATAATTCTGTTTTATCTATGGTGAAACAAATTTAGTGATGATTTGCCGAAATAATACGAGATTGTTGTTTTACGTAATTATATTTCACGACACGCACGCCTTATTTTCTTTTCACACAATAACAATACATGTTTTGTCCATTCAGACGTACCAAACGTGCATCTTGGACGTGATGCCGACGGCGCGGTGCGAGCGCGTGCCGCCCACTGGCGCCACTAAATGGGGAGCTATAGACCTCACTTCGCTTCAGGAGGACGACCTTCCCTTAGGTAACTGTGAATTCTTTCACCCGCTTGCCGATCGAGGCGCCTTTCTCAGGACGCCACCTCAATTGTGAGATAGCCTGCAGCATCTCATTTTGCTCCCCAATAGCTCCTCATTTCAGACCACAAAACAGAGCAACTGCTGCTTTGCGAGTGTAGTAGGTTGGGTTGCAGTTCTTACCTAGCCCACAAGCCCGGACAACGCCGTACAAGCGGCGCCTGCGCCCTTGCCGAAATTTTACTTGTTTTGTGGTATTAACAATGTACAAATGGATTCCCAGACCCGCGCACTTGGAACCGCTCCGAGGTGGCGTCGTGGGTGTCCCGCCGCGGCGGCCTGCCCGAAAGGTTCCCCATGAACGGGAAGGCGCTGTGCCTCATGAACAGGGACATGTTCGTCGCCAGGGTGCCGCATGGGGGACACCACTTGCACCAGGTCCGTATCACAAATACAGATTCTGTCAGTGTCGCTGCTATGGCAGCAGTCGCTTTATGCATACAGAACGTCCCCCTGGGAGAGATCAGTTACATACGCTAAGGCCGAAAACCTGAAAACACGCTGACTTAGACTTTACTTACGCCTTTCCGGCTACTAACAAATATAATAATAACGCTCACAATCAACATAGCCCCGCACTAGGGAAACCCTGTGTCGCGGGTGCCATGGACACACACATAGACAACCACAAATTACACCCAAACTCACGAGAGAAATAAATGTAGGCCATACAAATATTTCTCCCGGCCCGGGAATCGAACCTGGGACCTCTGCGTGGCAGTCCGGCATGGTAACCGTTCGGCCACAGAGGCAGTTTATATTAATATATATATATATTCAATTCTATAATATGAAACGTAATTATAGAATTGAACACATACTAAAAATACCTTCTTCAAAACTACTTAATATTTACATCTGGCCGTATTAAATGCTATGAAATTTTGTTAAAAATTTATAATAAAATAGTCAACCAGATTAAAAGTATAAATAAAATTAAGATATTCAATTACCAACTAAACATCTTTACAACAAAGATATTATTATAATTTTCAAGTTAGTGCTCTCTACCTAATTTTGACTGTATTTATTTTTTATTTAACTATTCTAGAATATTATCACTAAATTATTATATTAAATGCTATCTATTAAATTTATTACAAAATATATATTGAAGAATTGCAGAAAGAAGGCAAGTGTTGGCACGTGTAAGCATGGTGAAGTAATCTTTGATTGTTTGTTTAAGTGGACAAGCCCTCGACCGAACCTAATTCATCCCCCCGTCAAAATACTAAATACGATATTTTTAATGGCTCCTACTTATAGGGTAGTTGGAAAAGTGTACCTAATTTGTCGCACGATAAAAAAACAAAAGCGTACCTAACTGATCTCTCCTCGGGAGACGAATTGTACGGGTAGTATTTAACCGCTCACCAAAAAAGCAAGTTTGTCACGACCAAATGCCACTTCCCCAACAAAGTACTGATTGCACATCAAAAGAAAATTAATTTAGCATTATGTACTAAAATTAATGCATAACATTTTGTCGCAATGCATATCTAACGTCTATGTACATATCTAATATTTCTGGCATACAATAAACGTATGACCACAAATTTATGAGAAAAAAACATACCTATTTCACTAAAAGGTACATCATTCTATGGGAATGAAACACCATTTTATTTGACATAATGGTCTAAGGGTGTATTTCCACCGGCGAGGCGAGACGAGACGAGACGATTTTTAAAACTTGTATGGCAAAATATCAATTCTCTCCTAGCTCATCGTCCGTGGAAATGGTCGGGATTGACGAGGATGGGCGAGACGAGAATTGAAATATTTCTTGATGTAACATACACAACTAGGATTGTGATTTTATCATAATTATGTAACCACTTTTAAAACATTGTATCGTTTTCAAAAATATATATACATAATATAGTTGCAATATAATGTAAACATACCAGCGCCAGTTGTAAACTTTTTTATGTGTATTTTGCTAGTTCGTAACGATTGCCCTGGGATAAGATTATAAAAAAAAGTTATTTTCGAAAAAGTACATATATTTTTATTTATTTTATCTTAGAGGGTACAAACAGCTTATATTACAACATGATTATTTCTTCTTGCGGTATCTTCGTCCGATTCCTCTTCCGTTAACATATTTAATAATAAGAATTTGCGGGACATGTAATATTTGGTGGAAATAGGTCGGCGAGATTTCAATTCTCGCATCGCCTCATCTCGTCTCTCCTCGCCGGTGGAAAAGCACTTTAATTGTACAATTTGTCCAAAACGGATCGAATTGCACACAAACATTGCAACTAAGTCTAATGGTTGAAAATCGTAGTATTTTTTTTATTTGCAAGTAAAGGTTCAATTTAGTTCCAATATTATGAATTGTTTACAAGAAAATCAGTTCCAAAGCTTAAATAAATAAAAAAGCAGAAAATAATTTTGAAAAATTAAAATAACTTTTGTTAACCTCTGCCCAGCGGTGGGACATAATAGGTTAATATTAATAATTAAATAAACACTTTTATTGAATTATTAATGCGGGTGTTGCTTTCGCAGGACGTCCATGCTTCCTTTTCTGTTCGATTAGAACATTTTTGGCGTCCGCTGGTGGTCCTACATACATGAGCCGGATCGCGATCCCTACAACATGACTGTGTGCATTTATAGTTTTTGAAAAAATGAGGGCAGTTTCATTCACACAGCGTTCTAGCTTGTTCTTTATTCGGGCATGTTGTACCAGACTCAAGGTTGTATGTGAAAGAGATAAAAAGTCCTGATTATTTTCAATGAATCAGATGACATTTTTTAAATAATGTTATACAACATGTGTTATTTGTTATATTATAAATGTATTTGTTGTACGTGATTCATTGTCTAAACTAAGATAATTTGTGGAGCAACTTTTGAGAAAAATTACGGTAATTTTGTTAAAAGAATTGTTATTTCGTTTAGAGTTAATTTAAATTGATGTGTAATCAGTATTTTTGTTACGTAAACCATATTTTTGTTAATACACACTGAGAAATTAGCAGGGGTTTAGTTTTGATACATGTTTTTAAATTATTTATTTTTGATACTAGTTTTGTAAGACAGTTGTTTTCTTTGTAGTGAAATATTTTTTTAGACGTGAAAGTTATGTGAATAATTACCATAATTTTATATGTATTAAGTTTTCTGATTTGCACTTAAATATTTCCCGAATTGTATACGAGAAGCCTTATACGTGTCCGAGTTATACTTTCCTTTAACTCTATTGTCTGAGTGTGCAAAGTCCTTGCCACAGTGGAAATGGGAGTGGGAATTCACACATTTAAGAACAGTCTTAACTTCAGAACTAGAAACCACGACAAGGGATTTCGGAAATGTATACGATTGGACATTTTAGTGTGAATTTCAGAGTAGGTTTCAATTTACATGGTGACGGTAAATTGTCCGATAGTTCCGGTGTGTGACGTCATACGCGCCCGAGTGATCATTTAATTAAGTTAGAATGTTTTCGTTCCAGGAGTTCACAAGACGACTGGCCAAAGCGTTGGCCTTCCAAGACCTGATCGACAAACTATCCAAAACTAAATGAATTTCATCTTTACAACTCACTGCCAATCGATAACGTTCCACTGCTGGGCACATGTGCTATCTACGAAAGAGTTTCACCATACAATTATAGATATTTAAGCCATCGTTCACGGTGCACCGACCGACATGGTTCCACTTTGTCTGGATTTAACTACACCACAGGCTTGGCGAGTGAAGTCGGAATCCTCAACGGTGGCGCTCGCATTCTCAGACGAAGGTCACACCTGGCTTGTCAGCCGTTGCACTCCATGGTATATGTGATGGATCCAGCTCTGGAATCCAACCTTGTATTTGCAACGTCTCTCGTTATAGTAAATAAGTTCCTAAATATTAGAAAACGCAAATTAATATTTTGTTTGTATATGTTTGAATTTACTGGTATTTTAATTACGTACCTATATAGTGAATTGGTTTTGGCGCCATTTTTTGTCAAATTATTATTATTTTTTATTAAATCTTATTTAAAATTGATGTAAAGTGCACGATGTCAAATAGATACGGCCTTTCGACATTTTGCCGAATTTCAAATAACTTCTAGCCACAGCAAGAGCGTGTCTTCAAGAGTCGGATTATCTTCTCGCAGCCCTTTCCGTGAAGTCGCGTCGCGATGGCAATGTTTTCGCTCACCTTGTACGCGTGTTATAAAATAGATTTAGCTTTTTGTAATATATCTAGTCAGACTGTGTAAATAAAGTATCTTAGAGCTATTCATGACGTATTATTTCACTATTCAAATGTTTATTGTCTTACGCATTTGGATTACATTTAAATAACACGTAACATAATAAAATTATCGATAGTTTGGCGTAGAGCTTCGCGTCGCCACAACATTGCGCCGAGACGCTCCAGCTGCTTTCTGTCGCCCCTTTGAAGCCTCACTATTATAATCTTTTTTCAGCTAACATCTCCACTCTCAAAAAAAAAACTCGACATCACGTTTTTTTGTAGCTTTGAGCAGCCCACTTCCCCATGCTATTAGCAACCTGTCATCAACGTCTGCGAGTTTGTCTTCTTGTTTACACTGTTCATAAGTATAGAAATAATCTACCATTTTTCTAAGTTTATGCCAACGACCTCCAGATCAGTATTTTTAAATGAAATGTCTGTTAAGTCTTTGCGATAATCAAGTGTACGAGTGTAATTTGGGTTTTATGATTCATCTGCAGCTTGTTCCCGTCTGCGGGGGCGCAATTCCAGCCTGCGGATACAACATAAGGCTCAATTTATATTGCCACGGAACGGAAGCGTCAGTTTCGCCTCGCTGCGCGACGAGGCGCGGCCTACCCGAGCACCCGCGAGATTTCTCGCGAACGCCTGTAGTATTTTCTCGACATTTCACGTCACACTGCGCCTGGCTTCGCGCCACTTCTTGCGGATTGGCCAGACGTCGTTGTCTAGGCAGCTGCGGAATTCCCGCAAATACGCGAGCATGTGCGAGAATCCGCCGGAAGACGCGCGACTTGTTTTTTGGCACAAATCTAGTTTGTACGTTACACAATTGACATAATGTTTATTTTGCTATGTACAATTTCGTTTCCAAAATTCGCTTCCTTTCCGTTCCGCCGCAATGTAAATCGAGCCTAACAGGCAACGGAGTCAGTTTCAAGCGCTGTCATAATCCGGCGCCACTTGGCATTGCCTGTCACAGATCGGCTTCACGGACACATTCATAAATGGTTCTCATATACAAACCAAGCAGAGTTTCGTAAGCGTAAATAACCTAAATCATGTATGCGTAGAATAGGCACAAAATAGAATAGTAACAAATTCTTACAGCTCAGTCGTACTTTGAATCCGTTTGTTTGTCCAACCTTTTTGTTCCCCGCTCCAAAATTTGCTTTAACAAATAAAACTATCTGCAGCAGCAGTGACGCTGATCGGCGTGATTGGTAACCACAGCACTAAAATGCCTATGAAATTACTTTCAATACAAATACTTCTAACAGTTAAATAATTCATGTTTAATAGTTTAATAAAATTAATGTTTAACAGTTAAATAATTAATGGTGTGTAGGCTAATTATTCAAGTAGGATGTTGCCTGGATTTTGAAAGAATTTGTAGCACAATCTTATTTCCAGTTAAAATGAATCACCTTAGCCTGCTTAGGTGGCTAGACCGCTGCCCCGCGCAGATTAAGCCGCGTGTTGACGCAGATCTGCGTCTCCGCCGTCGCCATCGCCACCGCGCGCGTGAGGCAGTGTGTTGATCGCCTTACACTTAAGCCCACTACATATGATTCAATATAACTGAAATATTCGCACGGAGCACCCAGGGTAAGTACAAGACGCACGTGCGTGCGTGTGTAGTGCAATGCAACCAGCACTTACAATCGCATGTGGATGGAAGCTCAATATTTCAAATAATTCAATTGAAGTCGTAATTCTCAAATCGTAACGTAAGGGCGATATTCCAAAATTAATATGTACGAATTTATAAGTAACATAAAAAGTACACAAGAAAAAGGTAGGTCATATTTTGTACACAAAAATTATGCACATTTCTAAAGCCGCTACAAACGCGGCCATTAGACAGAAAGAAGCAAAATTTTTCACATAAATGACGAAAACTTAAAATGAATCGAGTCAGCGCTTTTTTCACTGAGCGCATAGAATTACTGCAATTTGGAGAAGACAAGAATATAACTGTTCCGCCTTAATAATTATAATAGATTTTAAGAATTTTGTAGTTATTATCATTCCTTAAATGATTATCTCTGGATACAGGTGTCTTACCGCGGTATGACTTCTTTAATTTTCACGAAACTGTCGATAATGTCGGCAAATGCTGAGTGACAATGGTAACACCGCAAGTAATCGAATCAAAGGCAGCCGTCGACAGTGAAAGAGGCTGGACTAATCTGCCGCTGGCCAACGCCGGTCAACGCGTCGCTATGGAGCGAGGAGCCGTTCCGACACATCGGGAAACGCTAACGGAGTCCAGCCGTGGCAACATATCACTGAGCATTGATCGTATTTGTTAAATTCTTGACACACACAAATGTGTGTTGTCCACATAATTTAAGTGTATCTAAATTATAACTTTCGTAATCACCCAGATCAAAATTCGGGTTATGATTATACAAACCATGGACTTTGTGGCAAATCTGTGCGATCCCGACAGTGTTCTAATTCACATGGACTCCGCTCTAGTTCGTGTGTTTTCATTATGGGCTCTACTTGAAACCCAGGGCGGTCGCGGCCTGGTTGAGTGCGTTGGGCAACCCGTTGCCCGCAGCGAGCCGCTGCACCGTGTCCTCCACAGAGATGTTCTTCGACGCCGACAGTTTTTCGAGAGCCCCCTGTTGGTATAAGCCCCCATAAGTAGCAGAATACACAGGTCTTCCACGGCTATACGACACGGAGGGAAAGTACTTTAAATTTTGTAGATCGGTATTGTGCTTGATGGAGACATTGTTTTATCTTAAAAGTAAGTTACATACATTCGAAAACAAAGAGTTGCTTGCCTCATCTGGGAATCAAACCGACAAATGTGAAAGATATCCTGTATTTTTATGATGCCGCCAGCTAGGGTCAATTGTACGGATTAATTCCTTTTAAGTAACATAGTGTCTTAAATTAAAGGAACACCTTCAATTATACAATTTATTAAAAAATAAACAAACTACAGAATGTCGATGTGTCTACGGCATTTGCAATCAATTGATTAAATGTTTGAAATGTGATCCATTTTGCACGCAAATTCTCAATCTTTTGATACGTTTGGTGCCTGTACGTTTTCTAATCTTATTAAGATGAATATTCGAAAAAAATATCCAATCTGCAACATTTAGCGTACCTAAAACTTAGTGTGGTAGCAAAGGTACTTGGAAGAAAGCTTGCCTCCTTCGTACGACTGAGCTTTCACTCCATGTCCACCGGGTGCCCAGTCTTAAATCTTGTGGAACGCGTTCAGTTGAATTAACCAGTTTATGGCTTGCTTACACGAACGGACGGTCCTACAAATCGGAGAAGGTTCGCACAGCTCCTCAAAAACTTGTGGACTTCCCAACCCTCCGTTCAATGGTGCAGGCCACTCTCTTCTTAGAGCAGACCCGTGGCTAGCCGTGGTTTACTTTTGTACTGCTGAGCATAGGTTCTACCTAGTGCAGTCCAGAGCAGATCGGCCTTTCACATTTCGCCAGCAACTTCAAAATAGATGACACTCACGCTAGCAGCTCTGGTATTAATTAACCATCATAGCTCAGCAGGTATGGGGCGTACATACAATATACGGGTCCCGTAGAACCGTGTGCGCGTGCGCAGCCTTATGTTTCGGTTAGTAGTCGAGCATGGTGCCACACGACGCACATTTTTTGAGACACAATAAATAATCTTATTACAAATTTACCTTGAACTCCTCAAAATTGACGTTTTGTTTGTCAGCCACATCAGAGAAGTGGGCTAAAACCTCTTTTTCTGCACTTTCTGATTTTTCCACTATGCCTGCTGTGAACAAAATGACACTGTCACTACACCGCCCACTGCTGTACACAGGCCTTTCCAAATAACACCTATAAAGGTAGGTACCACTGTTTATTTGTTTTGTGTAATATAGAACTTATTATGTAGTCCACGTTTTATTTTACTTGTATATTCAAAACTGTCGCGATGAAAAACGCTCAATTGACACAGCACTTGACTGTGCGTTTTGAGAAGCGATATTTTGCCTGTTACAGATACCTGTTAGCCTGCTACGTAAATATCGTGTCGCCGTCCATTCGATATATTTTTTTTCGATATATTATATTTTTTTTTGTTGTTGGAAAGAAGGTACCTCAGATGTGGTCCCATTTAAATTTCAAGAAAATATTCCACCTCTAAGGGTGGCAAACTAGGGGATGAATGACTTTTGAGGTCAGTTTTTTTATCCGGAGGTTAGGTTATTGAGTAACCACGATCTGCTCGTTACACGATGAAAGGCTTGTTCAGAATGAAATTTATTTTTATAAGAAAAACCGACCTCAACAGTTCGTTTATCCGCTGTCCCTGGGCGACAACGCGAATCAGACGAGCCCAAACACAAGGTGGCTGTGCACCGTTGAGGAGTTCCTATCGTCTGTCTGTCGTTTCAGCGTCAGATCAGCTCTGGGTCACTATTTCATTTTTCATTGCAATTACATTTTTATGTGTCAAGCTTCGTTGAAATCGTTTAACGGAAAGTGGGTGAAATTCAATAATCACTCGCTCTTAGCGGAATATATGTTAATGTACTTCAAATTTGAACAGGACTAGTAACGGAGGAGGGGAAAGGGGGTTTTCCAACCAAGCAAAGAATCGTCGGAATCGGTTCACAAATGGATCACATAACAAAAATAACAATACAGTCCAATTGAGAACCTCTACCTTTTTTAAAGTCGGTTAATAAGTAACTTTTAAGTAAATATGTGTGTAAGTGGATATTTTTTCTGTTTTTTTCAGGTTCGAGTGTCCCGATTGAATTGAAGTGTCCTTAGAATTATTTTCGTTGCTGTGGTATCCCCATAGTGCAGGAATGCCATAATTTCAAACCTGATTTGAAATTATGGCATTCCCTGCACTATGGAGAGTCAACCCGTGACCATGGAGCGTGCAACCGTTCCGAAACATCGGGAAAATAAAAAGAAGTCATACCGCGGTAAGAAACCTGATACTAGTGATAATCATTTAGTGAATAACCACGAAAGTCTTAAAATCATATTATATTCTTTATTCAGAAAAATCTTTTGAACATTTATTTAGAGTGAATTATAAAACAAAATGTATAGCTAAAAACAAATTAGAGAAAAACGAGATTTAAAATGATTAGACAACAGCTAAAAAAAAACATTTACGATGGGTTCGGTACCTGGACTAGCTGCTCCCTGCTCCTCTCGATTCCTGGGAACCACGGCGGAGGCGTGTCATATATTTGAATTTGTATCCTGGATACCGTTTGTTTACTTTTTTCTGTGTCATTTGCACTATATTGTTTTTTATGCTATTTATGTGATAGCGAATTCTTTAATTATTTTTACAAATAGACCCAGACTTTATAAAAGAGAAGGATTATCTATTCTATGGCAAAAGGGCAGCAATGGGTACTCCAAGCCGACTATCTCAGAAACAAATGTAAATAGCACGTAAATATAGAGTCCGTTACTTGCCAAAATTTCAGAAAAGTATATTTCATCAAAAACAAGTACGAAGTTAAAAACTGCATTGACAATTTTATTGCTCCAGTAGAAAAACAGACTGGTATCCAACCAATTGAAAATATTAAGGACCGATAACGGAACGGAATTTGTCAACATTGAGGTACGTAAAATGTTGAATAAATACGGCATCATACATCAAAAGTCTATAAGGTACTGTAGACTAGGCTGTACTCTTTGAGTAAGATTGCTGGCTGAACATAGGTAGTGTTTATAGTTTGTATTTGGAACGCTAAGAAAATAAGGAAGGATCTTGACATATCATATTAAGATCATTGTTTCGTAACCCTAAACATGTAAAAAGTGAAATAAACCAAAGTTTTAAGTTAATCCCGGTTTTATATTATTAAAAGTACCTCTCGCAATGCATCTGAGCTACAGCACTCTATTATAGTACACGCCTCAACAAAACGGTAGGGCTGAACGGGAAATGTGCACAAGTGGAGAGGCTGCCAGAACAACGTTGAAAGCAAAGTTAATGACCAAGAGATTTTGGGCAGAGGCTTTGAATACAGGCGCTTACGTACTCAATAGAACTGGTCCAAGTCCCGTAGAGGGAAGAACGCCGTTTGAACTTTGGACAAACAAATCAGTTGATTTTAATATTTTTCATGTTTTTGGCAATCGTGTTTCTTTTCACATTCCGAAGGAAAATCGTCAGAAGTGGGACGTTAAGAACGCGATTGGAATATTTGTGGGATATGAAGAAAATGTGAAATGATATCGTGTTTATGTTCCTGAAAAAGACAATGTTATTTTGCCTAGGGATATAATTTTGTTTTCAAATACAGATCTCGAAGTAACAAAAAGGGAACGGTCGAGTTAACGCGCAATTGACTCTATTAATAGTAATAATTGTGAAATTGAGGAAAATGAAAAAGAAGTAGAGGTTGAAAGGATGGAAAGAAGTATAAATAATAGTCAACTCGAAACTGTTATCAAAGAAAAATCTGTAGACATAATTGAGATCGAGCAAAGTCATCAAAGCGAACAAAGGAGATTGCGAGATCGTAGTACCTAAGATTCGATCGCCCCAAAGAGTGTACTTCATTTTGCCGAAGTATTTGAACCCAAGTCTTATGAAGAAGCAATTAATAGCAATGAAGCTGATAAGTGGATTGATGCAAAGAAGAAGGAAATTGCATCCCTTGCGGAGAATAATACTTGCACTGTTGTTCCCAAGCCGGTAGATTGCCAGCCAGTTGATACCGAATGGCTTTTTAACATAAAGAAAGGCGAAGACGGAAACAAGCTTTTTAAGGCGCGTTTAGTAGCTCGTGGCTTCAAACAAAAAGATTTTGTATCGGCATCCGAAGTTTACTCGCCGGTCGCACAGCTCACTACTTTCAGATTGTTTGTTGTAATAAGTGTGAAATTGGGAATTAAACTGCATCAAATGGACGTCGACGCGGCTTTTCTTAATGGTAACATAAATGAACTTGTGTATGCGAGTTTGCCTGTAAATTTAAATTTTAATATAGAAAGTGATAATGTATGTAAATTAAACCGAGCTCTGTACGGTCTTAAAAAATTGCCTAAGTACATTAGATGAAACTTTAAGAAAATGTGGTTTTACAGCCAGTAAAAATGATTATTGTTTTTATTATAAAGTAAGTGACAGCACCAAAACTTATTTCCTGGTGTATGTCGATGATTTCCTAATTATGTCGACAGACAATAATGAATGCTCAATGTGAAGAACTATTTACAGAAATGTTTAAAGATTTAGGTATTGCCGAGTACTATGTTGATATAAATTGTTACAGAATGGTGACCATACAGTTTTAAGCCAAACAGAATAATATATTGCAGGATTATTACGGAATTTTAATACGCATGAGTGTAAGTCGGTGTCCTTATCGACGTACCAAAGAACAGTTGCTGATATATTTACAAAACTTCTTGACAAAATGCTATTTCAAAAGTTTAGAATAATGCTAAGGTTGTGTTGAGTTTAGTTTTTGTTTTTAAAAGGGTTTTGTTTATAAGTAAGAGATACGTTTGTTTTTATTTTTATTCAAGAGGGGGATTACATTTATTCATTAAGTTTTCATTAAGAGGGGGTGTTACATGTAATGAAACCTCATTTAAGAATACCTACGTGTATGTCAAGTTAGGTAAAAAAAACAAATACTATGACTTCTATCAGATTCAAAATGTGGAATCAAAAAATAAAATGTATGTATCAAATTTCTGAATAAAAATATTTAATAACGCACATCACTTCACGGACGTGAGTGTTTTCTTTCAGAGAGGAAATAATAACTGTAATACCTTTACCGAGCAAACGCGTGTTGCACTGTCTCTGACATCATTAAGGATCATTTTACAACTCGAGGATCCCATACCAAGTATTGTGCTCAAGTTCGAACCGGACGCATGCGCTGTGCAGCGACACAGCAATTTCGGGGCCACCGAAATGCGGTGCCATTCTTATCGTAAATCCTAGCACTTTGTTCGCGGTTTTGAAGATACCAGTTACACGATCACGCAACCAATCGGGTGTCCAACGTTACTCCTGGGCCCTGAAGTGTGCTGACACTTATGAATGGAATACGTGACAGGTGGCGGTTCGAACTAAAAGTATCATTAGACCGAGAGAAAGGAATAATTTTACACTTATGTGCATTGAGTGGTAAGTTGTACAGTGTCGCCACCCACTGAAAATGATTCGCAGCCAGAAGTTTTGTCTGTGCACCCTGCATTAGCTTGGTGTCATCTGGAAACAATAGTCAATAATATGCCCCGCAATTTGAAATTATACTTACCTTCTTGCAACCATTTCAACATGTTTGCCACTGTGTTGTCATTTGACGAAGTGATCGTGTTAAATATTTCTTGAATGTTGTCCATGACCGACCGTTTCAAAACCGATTTGCGAAAGAGGTTATCCACGACGTGCACTTAGTTTGGTTCAAATTATACCTACGAGTATATGCAAGTGGTGGATACAGCCGCAGGAATTTGAAGTCGGATTTGTTTCCCTTTTTACAGGATTTCAACGTGAATAATATTTAGTTTTCTCGTCATTTGTTTCATTCCGAACTATGACTAAATAATTATACATTTTTTACCACAGACGCATTGTTATGTTCAAATTATATGTAGATATTAGTCTGTGACTGGATCACCCTTCACAAGTGGTTTTTTGTACAAGTGAAGTTTTAATTTATTACTCTTTTTATCAAATGCATGTCGAATGCAAAACGTTTCGACGTCGGGAATAAACATCACTGTGACAGCCACGTGGTAAGTATTTTTTGTTGAATGATGCATGACCATAGACCTTAGACTATGGAAACTAAAGGACATGTTACGTTGACATATATAAATCAGACGTTATATGTATATGATGCATTTCGACGTCGAAAACATAAACATGTTATTGTCTTTGTTTAACTATTACGTGCCGTCTTAAGCCAAAAGAGATAGCATTACATTGGTCTGTGTCAAACATGGGAATCGAAAATACGTAACGTCATCTTAAATGCCAACCGTGTCCATTTCGCAGTACATGAGATCTTAGAGGATGGAAAAAATAAAAGAAAGGAGCTGCCCTAAGTACAGAATCAACGTGCATATTACCAAAATTTGAAAGTTACAAATGGCGGATTTCTTTACTGTTGTACCATAATCTATCGATAAGTCATTATCGACATGCAAATGTATGGCTTGAATTTTTGTTTCTTTAGTTTACTGTAACCAAAGTATGCCTAAACAATTTAATCTCGAGTGGTATATTATTACAAAAGGCAACACACATTTTTAAACTTCAAAAAAAATTTATTTTCAACATTACAACTGGTAACTTATTTAGTAAAAGTCACCAAACTGCTGTACAGTTTGTTGGCGACATGCGCATTCTTGCTTAATTATACCTACTTTACTTGTATTTAACATTACGTAGTATTAATTGTACTTACTAAATAAAATATAAAAATTACTTTAAGAGGTACGCCTTTAACCTACATTTTAGTACATATTTACATAACGTCTTTTAACTAACCGTCAAGTACAAGTCTATTCAGGTTTCTGCGGATTCTAGTAATCAGATACGAGTGGATAATTTTGTTTTCAGGAACTGAGAATAGCTAGTAAATGAGTCTTGTTTAATCTAAATTGAACATAAAATTATTTACCAATAAACCTAATGATGGAATAGCATTGTCATGTAATCTAGTTACATTTAAAGTTCTGTTAAAATTTGACTCTTCAAAATGAAGCGAACAAATGAAGATGGTCTTTGATCCAACGTTTATATTCGGCAGTCCTATGATTTCCAACCATTCTTTCTTCCTTTTTTCATTTGTAGGAAAACTTGAAATAATAATAATAAAACAATAAAAACCTCATGGTGAATTGTTTTAATAACAGAATATCGATAATATGTATGCTTACAAGATCAACACTATCTCCAAATAATCGTTAACAACAATCATCAAAATATACAAACAAACAGGCAATCTAAAGTAACAAAAGCAAAATTTGGCAAGATTTATAAATAAACTATTTAAATAAGTCTAATTACATAAAATATTCGGGCTATTGTGTGATTTATAGACAAAAAAATAACACATGCCTGTGCAATGTAACATTCGATTGATTTGCAGTTTTTCTAAAGCCGCATCCTTTAATGCTGCAGCGTCGCATTTTTATTAATACCTAATTATTCTCACTGTCAATATTTTTGTCCAATTTAATTATAATACATGTGAATAATTCAATAATACATTTGGAAAAACATTTGTTTTGACATTTGATGTACTTCCCTTTGACAACGGTATCATGTACCTCATGTACTTGAAATGGCCACGGTTGGCATTTAAAATGACGTTACGAATTTTCGATTCCCGTGTTTGACACAGACCAATGTAATGCTATCTCTTTTGGCTTAAGACGGCACATAATAGTTAAACAAAGACAATAATATGTTTATGTTTTCGACGTCGAAATGCATCATATACATATAACGTCTGATTTATATATATGTCAACGTAACATGTCCTTTAGTTTCCATAGTCTAAGCATGAGATACATAATACCGTTGTCAAAGGGAAGTTCATCAAATGTCAAAATAAATGTTTTCCAAATGTACTATTGAATTATTCGCATGTATTATAATTAAATTGGATAAAAATATAGACAGTGAGAATAAGTAGGTATTAACAAAAATGCGACGCTGCAGCATTAAGGAATGTGGCTTTAGAAAAAGTGCAAATCGATCGAATGTTACATTGCACAGGCATGTGTTATTTTTTTGTCTATAAATCACACAATAGCCCAAATATTTCATGTAATTAGACTTATTTAAATAGTTTATTTATAAATCTTGCCAAATTTTGCTTTTGTTACTTTAGATTGCCTGTTTGTTTGTATGTTTGTCTTGTAAGCATACATATTATCGATATTCTGTTATTAAAACAATTCACTACGAGGTTTTAATTGTTTTTATTTTATGTAATGTTAAATACCAGTAAAGTAGGTATAGGTAGGACAATGATGAGTCGGTGCGTTAAAAAAAAAGTAAGAGTGCACATGTCGCCAACAAAATGCACAACAGTTTGGTGACTATTATTAAATAAGTTACCAGTTAAAATTGCTTGATAGATTGATTTGTTTAAGAAAGCCACTAACGTGAATATGTAATGTAAATATGTAATCTAGAAAATAATTTTCTTTTTAAATTTGAAATTCGTGTTGACATTTATAATAATATACCACTCGAGATTAAATTATTAGACTTGTGTTTGTTTAGGCATACTTTGGTTACAGTAAAGTAAAGAAACAAAAAAAAAACAGTTTCAACATTCAAGCCATACATTTGCATGTCGATAATGACTTATCGATAGATTATGGTACAACACTAAAGAAAACCGCCATTTGTAACTTCCAAATTTTGGTTATATGCACGTTGATTCTGTAGTTAGGGCCAGCTCCTTTCTTTTATTTTCTCCATGACGACCAAAAAGCCTTAGTGTTGTAAAAAGTTTAAAAAGAAATTAAGATGTTCTCGTTGTCTTTCGACATGCACAATTTTCTTTTAAATTATACATCCATTTAATTTCCAGTTTATTCCTAAACATGAATAACTCGAACGAATATAATGGGACTTGATTTCATATTAGTGGCAAATTATTCCAAAGAAATATGAGAAAGACAAAGAAGGTAGCAACATTCCTCATTGTAGGTGTAGGTATAATTCTATTAATCTGAAAGTGATATCATTTCTCCACCACTTGCTTACCTGATAACTCTATCCTCATTATACACTTACAATTTATTAATTATTTACAATAATTAGGGAAGTGGACTGTAATGTTCTACGACTGTAATGCTCGTTTTGATTGTCAGACATAAAAAGTAAAGCTGTGACTGAAATATGAAATGTAATTTTATTTACTATCAATTCATTATTAATTGAAAATGTTTGTTTTTTTCTTGTAATTTCGATTTGGTACTTATCAATTTTAGGTCAAAAACCCTCAAGTGTCTGTCTACTATCACTGACTATGCAAAAATTCGCACGTTGTAGAGAGTTGTATGATTGTGGCCAAGCGTGTGTCTATTGTATATTAAAAAAAGTTTCGTGTCAACTTTCAGAACACTAGTTTGAAAGTTGACTTAGTTGGTTTCACAAGTTTGAAAGTGGTGACGGATTTTGCGCGAAATTGTTCGACACTCGTAATCTTCTCCGTGTAAACTAAACGTTTCACATCACCCCTGTAATAGTCACGAACTTGGCGTCCATAATGAGAAACGTTTGAGAAAGAGATAACAGCACCGGTTTCTCTTTTCTCGGTCCGCTGTTTGGTTGCACGTGCCGTGCAAAAGTTAATGACCTTTGGATCAGGTGATTGCAGATCGATGTTTACCGCAATTAAGTAAAAATAAGAATTTTGGTATTTTTTTGACATTTATTTTTTTAATGATTTTTATTCAGTTTTGGATATAGAATAAGGTTATTCTACACATCATTTACAGAGGTCTGTAAATATGGCGGGAATGCAAATGGACACTTCGTGTATATCGGCGATATATACAATGTGTTGTTATATATGATGTGTGAATGTATAAGACGTAAAGGGAGACATCGAGGAAACCTCTTTCGTCATTGATTGCGCCTGGGATTAGTTGATAATTGGCCGATTCACTATTCGTTATCAATTCGCTAAGTCGGCGGTGAATAATAACTTCACTTCATTGCATTTAATTCGTCTATCCTTCACAGTAATTAGTTCGAAAGTACAAAAGATGATTTAGGTTAAAACAGGTTTTATATTGAGTGTCTCGCGGCCAATTCCCAGCGACGGACCTCCATTGATTTTTTTTCAACACACAGGCACGCAAAGGCCATCTTGTCAAATCGTTTTTGTTCACAAAACTTACACCAGTGTTGCCAACTTCACTCCTTATTTTCATATGGCAACCCTGCCAATAACCGTCATCTCATAGGACCACGTCAGATTACTAATTAAACATAACAAACTCAAACTACAATTCAATAGAAATCAGACGTTACATGTGACGGCGCGTAGCCAGTGCTTAGACGATGGAAAAAAATAAAGGAATTGTCTAAGGGTCGTATTCCAGAACTCCACTCAATGCTCAAGTCAGGACTGCAGCCGCGCGGTGGTCGCGCTGCAATCGCGCGACGGCCGCGCGTCTGTCGTGCTGCTGAAGTGCTACCAAATTTTTAGTGATGTTTTATCTTTCGTTCAGTTACACGATGGATTCTGACGAAGAAACATTACTTTCACTTATTTTGTTAAAACTGAAGAAAAAAAATAGGAAACGAAACTATTTTTCCGGATTTAAATCGCGTATATTTGTTTTTTCAAACAAACCGACGTTTCGGGCCCTTTACAGGTCCCATGGTCACGGTTGACTGAGGTGGTACAGTCTTCAACCAGTTATGTCTAATATTA